CCTCCTCCTCATAGTAACAGTGAGGCTGCACCTCCTCCTCATAGTAAAAGTGAGGCTGCACCTCCTCCTCAGAGTAAAAGGTGGCTGCACCTCCTCCTCATAGTAAAAGTGAGGCTGCACCTCCTCCTCATAGTAACAGTGAGGCTGCACCTCCTGCTGGTGCTGCAGGCGCTCCTCCTCCAGGGTCTTGCTGGCGGCGGCCAGGTCCTCCAGGGCTTTGAGCAGCTGCACGCTGGGCTCAGCGCTCTGCAGGAGCAGCATGCTCTGCCGGTTGGCCTCCTTCTGCTTCACCAGCATCTGCGGGGGGGGGGAAAGAGGAGCGGGAGGAGCCGGTGACAAATCACAGGAATGTCGATGAGGAGAACCAGGAAGAAGAGGCTCGGATGGAAACCCTCCTTTTCTTTTTAGTCGTTACAGGCGAAAACGGCTTGTTTTGGGGGTTTTTAGACGTTTCTCCTCTCATCTTAAAGGCTTCTTCAGCTCTAAACTGGAGGGTCAGGGGGTTAGGGGTGGGGGCGGGGGGTCAGTCTGGACTAGGCTGGTCCCGATCCGATATCTGGATCGGATCGGCCGCCGATATTTGTAAAAAACTGCAGGAGAAAATGCCGATCCAGACTCCAGATCCAGTTTTTTTTTTAAGTCTGATCCTACACGAGCATTAGCATTAGCATTAGCATCTGTAACCCACAGGTCTGTGTCCTAACCATTAAGTTGTTATCAGAGTAAATCCCTGTTCAACATGAGTCTGATAAACTAAGTAAGTACATAAATAACTTTAAACTTTAACACATGCTCTGATAGGCCGGGATCGGATCGGATAAGAAGAGAAAAAAGCTGGATTGGGACGTCCTTAGTTTGGACCCCCCTGACCAATGAGAGTCAGTCTTTCTCACCTGGGGATCGTCTGATTGGCTGAAAGCTGAGTTTAGCTCACAGGTCCAAGCTGTGGATGCCTGGAGCCTCCCGGAGGAGCAGGGAGACGATACCTGACCCCCATCCTCTGTCAAATATGCCCCCCCCCCCCCCCCTCCTCTGACTCACCTCGTGGGCGTAGGACTCGGCTTTGACCCGGAGGCTCTGCTCCAGGTCCAGCTGCTCCTTCATGCCCTCGAACTCCTGCGTGGCCATCATGGAGACTGGAGGAAGAAGAACAGCCGCTCAGGCCTCTGACGGGGTTGGGGAGCCGTCGGGGGGGCAGAGACTCACCCCGGTTGAAGCGTTTGAGGGTTTTGCTCTGCTGCTCCACTGTCTGGCGCAGCTGCTCCAGCTGGGCCCGGTCGGCCTGGGCCTGCGCGCTCAGCTCCTCCAGGTGGCGCTGGCGCTCCAGCAGCTGGCACGCCAGGCTCTTCTTCTCCTCCAGCAGCCCGCCCACCGCCGCCCGCAGCTCTGAGCACACCCAAAAGCATCCCCCCCCAAAGTCAGTTCAGAAGCGCCGCACTTCCAAAAGCGCTGGTTCTTCTGTTTTGGTCGGGTTCTGACTGAGGCCAATCTGACCTGGACCAGCTCCTCTGGGAGGAGGAGGTCTATTGCACATTTTAGTGTAGAAAAATGTGAATATTGCACATTTTGGTGTAAAAAATTGTAAATAATTCACTTTATAGGGTGAAAAACTGTAAATATCCCACATTTTGGTGTGAAAAAGTGTAAATATTGCACATTATAGGGTAAAAAATTGTAAATAATTCACATTATAGGGTAAGAAACTGTAAATATTGCACATTTTGGTCTAAAACAATGTAAATAATTCACATTATAGGGTATTCAGCCATTAGCATCTGCTAACCCATGGGTCGTTGTTATCAGAGTAAATCCCTGTTCAACATGAGTCTGACAACTAAGTAAGAAGATAAATAACTTTAAACTTTAACACATGCTCTGATAGGCCGGGATTGGTATTGGAAGAGAAAAAAGCTGGATCGGGACGTCCCTAGAACGAACATACGAATATTTCAACACAACAAAGTCGGTCCTGGAACCAGTTAAATAGCTTTGTAAGGGTTCTGCTGTACAGACAGGTGAGCTGAAAGAGGTCAGAGCTGGGAGGCGTCACCTTTGACCTGCTGCTGGCACTGCGTGAGGGCGTCGGGGCTGGGGTCCGCGGCGCCGTCTACGGTGGCATCGTCCACGGCGCCGTCTGCCTCCAGCGCGGCGCAGTCGGAGATGCTGGGGAGCAGCTCGTCCAGACTGGCCCGCGACGACAGGCTCAGGTACTTCAGCTTCCTGTTCTCACAGTTCAGCTGCGGGAGGGAGGGGGCACCGGCTTTAGCTGGTCGGCCGTGTGTGTGTGTGAGAGTGTGTGTGAGAGTGTGTGTGTGGGGGTTATGAATCAGTCACAACCTCAAGCTTTCAATTTTAGTTCATTATTTGTGTATTCTTCAGTGTATGAATCAGTCCAACCTAAACAAAATATCTATTTTCAAAAATTAAGTACATTTACTTGTCAATCACTTATAATGTCATAAAAAATGGGGTGTGTGTGTGTGTGTGTGTGTGTGTGTGTGTGTGTGTGTGTGTGTGTGTGTGTGTGTGTGTGTGTGAGAGAGAGATCTAGTGAGAAAATTTGAAAACTCAGTCTTTCTAAGAAGCTCAGAACTACTGGTCCTCAGTTTGTCAGTGATTGTACCCGGTCCTCAGTCTGGGCCGTAAAAGAATGTGTTTGTGTGTGTGTGTGTGTGTGTGTGTGTGTGTGTGTGTGTGTGAGACGGACCTTGGTGGCCAGGGCCTCTGCATTCTCCCGACACGACTTCTCAATGTCCAGCTGAGTCTGCAGGACGCTCACCTCCTCGATCACCATCTGAGACACTGACACACACACACACACACACACACACACACACACACACACAAGCACACATACGTGTTTTAAGTATATAAAAGGACGTATAACGGAAATAGGACAAATGGGGACGTGCCTTTCCAAAGGTTCTACAGGTCTGAGAATCCCAGAGTTTCCTATCCATGCATTCAGGAAAGCTAACATCTATTGAGATTTTAGCTAAAGCAAGCTATTGATCACAAACCTTTTGTTGGACATATAGGGACATTATCTGGTTTACATAACTTATGATAACTATAACTTTTCACACAGTTATTTCATGTCTAAGTGAATTGTCAGGCCCAGAGAAACACACAATGGGACGGGAGGCAGCTTTGTGCATTCGGCACACACACAGACACACATACACACACACACACACACACACACAGGGACAGACCCCCACACACACACAGAGTTATCTCCCACCTCAGTAGAAAGCAGCTCCCCTCATATCAGTCCACCTCCCTGATTTGAACTCCGTTATTAGTCGAAAATGCAAACAAAGTGTTGTTCATTCTGTTTCTTTGGCCTCAGAGACGGATTGGAGCCGTCGTTTTAGGCCATCAGACCATTTCACGAAGCAGGAATAGGAAGGTGGGGAAGTCCAGAAGGTTCCCCAAACCAGAAACTAGAGCAGGAAGAAGCACAGGACCTCCAAAAAGAGACAAATGGACGGAGAAGGTGAAGCTCTCCGTGGATTCTATGGTCACTTCTGCTCATTTTGTCCAGAAACAACAGAAAATACTGGAGGGTAAATTAAATTTAAAGCCTCTGAAGGTCTTTATATATTTAAACTGTTAACATGTGGGAAAAACAGTGGAATTCAAGCGTTTCCTCTTTATTTTGTCTTTAAATATCAGCAGTGGTGCATTTACCTTTGATATTTCTACTTTACAAACGTGTTGGAAAGGTTTCTGAATCGTACCACATTTGTTTGGTTTGAAGTCAGATGTCGATACAACTAACTAATGAAACTA